GTATGCTGGGTAATGGCACAGCTAGCTACTGGGTGACTTTATTCACCCGCTTCGGCTGTTTATCAGTCCATACAATGGCGTTATTAGCACAAATCAGTCCCATAGATATGGGCCATCTCCTGCTAGATTGTTCAGAAGGTTGTTCTCATCCATCCAGATGGAGGATCACTAACAGGAGCATGGAAGACTCCAGAATCCACTCTGGCTGCAATCCGGTGGATATGCAGTGTTTACAGGTAAGACCATTTACACGGACAGCATTTATAGAATGACTATTAAAAGTCAGCGAGTGTCAGTAATGTTAATGTGGTTATGTTAGTAATACACAGAGTGCTAATATAACAGCTTTACGATGCATTTGTAGATATTATTACGTGTTTTACCGTCTTTATGGTGCTAGCTTAAAGTTACGGTGTAAACGTTAGCTTAGTAAAGCTGTTACTGGTTAAACGATGTTAGCACAGAAATATTAGCTTCTGTCATGACTGATGAAGTTACTAGTTAATAAAGTTTCCAGTAAAGTGTTTAATCGCAGCCACAGATTGACAGCAAATATCTCGATTAGCTTCAGTGCATCTATAATAAATATGTGCAAGTTTCAGTGCTTCGTTTAAACTGTATGATACTTATACTGACCCAGGGTCAGTGTAAAATACAATCCTAGCTGTGTGAACAAAGTATAATCCCTGCTTAACCCGATTCAACCTTCCAGTTAAGAGGCATGGCCTCAGTCTTTGAAATGTCTTTGTACAGTGTTTGCAAAAGTTATCTTCATAATCGTTATCTAAATCGTGATAAAGATTCTATAAAAAGATATTTACCTGATGATTATATCTACAGGCTTCACAACCATGTCTGTTACTGTCCCTCGGTAATTAAAACTGCACTGTTTATGTTTATGATGTGCCCATCGTCCACATTTCTTACTTTCATTGACTGATACGCTTCACGTTCACAGAAACTCAATGTAAGAATGCTCACCTGCAAGAGTAGAAAAAAGAAAACACTGTCTGTAATCAACACCCTCTCTACACTGGCACATGTACTTGTAGCTTCATGTGTCCATGGAACAATGAAGAGGAAACCATTTTAGCCATTTTTGTGTAACAGTTTATCTTTCTCATCTATTGTGTTTGTGATGTCTTATTTATTTTAATGAGCTAGGTTGTTGTTCATGTTTTGGCTGTTTTAACACATTCATTTGCAAACCTTCTGAAATATCAACAACTAAGGATCACTAAACTAAAGTGATCATCTGTTTTCAACGCAATGTTCTGCTGGGAAGAAATCCCAGAAACTCCTCCTCGTTGGTCAAGTCACACTTGTTTTGGTGCCATTAGACCATTTAGACCAATTTCTAAATAACCTTTTATAGCAGAAATTTTATTTAAAAAATACCACAATTGCTCCATGCACTAAACAGTAATATTATCTTTGAGAGGTTCCAGTCAGGGCTGCATTAGTCTCAATGCAATTCACATTTGACACATAAAGTAAAAACTTTTTGTGAGCTCTATAAAGACTTGCCTTCCAGAGGGAACCAGTGTGAAAAGGTGGTGGTTAGGATGAGAAGAGTACTTGATGATGTTTGTGGCCCAAACTGCTGCAGCTTAAATGCAGTATTTGACAAATTTGAGTGAAACTCTTATTTTTCAAATCATCAGTTTATTTTTCTTTATGCTTTCTCCCTATTGAGTATATAACTCAGAGACACAGTGTATCTATTCATTATTTTTGTTGATGGCACTCAGATATAGCTACCTACCAGTTGGTATTTCATCTGACACTGAATATACACAGTTGTCTTAATGAGTCTCTTTGGGAAGTTCAGCACTGGATGTCAAATATGGTTCTCTGGCTCATCTCTACAAATTCTTGTCAATAGACCCCAGCTCCTGATATGCATATTCTGCCCTCTGCTGGTTAAACCTGTTTCTATCCTACAAAAGGGATCTGTTTGAATATTTAAAGACAGTCAGGGTAATTTCAATGCTTTTATCTCATCACGCCTCCATTAGTGTCACAACGTTTTTACTTGCCTTAACAAAAAAATAATCCAAATCATTGCATTCCAATTTTACATGACTTTTAATTTAGGCATGATCCCTGTTTTTACAACAGTATACTGGCCTTCATTAAAATCAGTGTGAAGCATACCAACCACAATGATCTGCTTTTCTAATAAATTACTTTAAAATGAAAACTCTGGAGTTCAAAAAACAAGTTTTACAAATTAAATACACTTAGTGTAACTTTGATAAGAGTCGTAAAAAAAAGTTAATGTCCAGCTATCAAATTTCTGTATGGGACTAAAGTCAGAAAAACTATTAAATATTAGCTTTTACATGTAGTATAGGTTCTGTTTTATAATAGATATTTTGTTGTTACTGAGTGGTTAAACCAGTATATTTACAATAATAACCTGCCTATATGATGTTAGCCAACAGCAGTTTAACATCAAAATTTATTTTTTCATAGAGTCAGGTAATGTTAACATACTCTTTGCAGAAACTATTTTTTTCCACTTCTGAGCAAACCTGGATTTTTCATATGTCCCTTGCCCAGCTCTCCACTTTCATACCCAGCCAGCTTGGCCAACTTCATGGCTTTAGCTGCTTTTATATTTTGAGCTTTTTTAAGACCTTCCTTTACCACCATGTACACATTAGAAATTTTTATCCACCATTTCCTCTTTCGGTCATATGGAGTGAAACTAGCGAGTGGTCCAGAAACACTCATTTCCTTTTGTGTTACACCAGCTGCTAGTATCACCTCCTTTATAGCCTGGCTGTGTTCAACAGTGTGTTTTTGCCTCACGTGGTGAAAAAGGTTTGTTTTTTCCTCCTTTACCTCCTTTTCCTTCTACTCTTTTATATCACCTAAAATACACGAGTGACCATTTCTGTCTTATGCCTTTCCACTCTTCTCTGTTTGTGATCATATTTGGCCAACAGAGATTTTCATTCTCAAACTTTAATTGCTCAGCCAGTGAAAGCCATATTGTTATGGTCCTAGCAGGACACAGCTGCTGTTTGTTGGCCTTGTTTACCACCTGGGCCCAGTCAGCAATCACCTCTCTGAGGTCATATAAGCTGGGCATGAACTGGATGAGGGGAGGCAGATTTCTCTGGTGTTTCCTGTTTGTGTTTTAGGTGTCAAAAGCGGCCCTATTGTGTGATTGTCCTGCCTGTGGCGTGGAGTTGTAGGAGCAGTGGGGAGAGTAGCTGCTTCATGTGAGTAGTGTGGGCCTGTGGCCCTCAACAGCAGCAGCAGTGGAACTTGCTGCTGCTAGTGACAGGGATGGCTTGTGGGCCCTGGAAGTACCTCCTCGTGGTGTGGACTTGTGTTCTTTGTTGTTGCAACCTTTTTCTTTTCTAGTGTTACTGGGAAAAACGGCATGCTGGCTCTTTATGTTAAGATTTAAAAACTATTTTATTTACTAAACACCTCTGTCTGTTTTCCTTTCATTCCATTCTGGACCCATTTGTTACCAGTCCCCACACACACCCCTAGACCTTCATCGTGGGGACATAACACCATATAAATTGTTTGTTTGTTTTTTTTGTTTTTTCCCCAAACATTTGTAATTTGTTATATTTATTACTCTGAGACAGAGCACATTACAGTCACTAAACATTAGCACCATAGAAATCACATCATTTCTGCAGATCAGCTACCAAATTCATTCCTGTAATATAAAGCATGGAATCCAAACTATGATTGAGTGATATTGAGGAACTCAAAAAACATTAAACCATCATCATCAGGCAATTTGTATACAAGGTAGATTTGGTACATGGACTCCTGCTGCCAAATTATGAACCTACCATCTGCAGACTTATCTTTTACTTTCTTTCTGGTTTGCCCACTTTAGCTGATATTGCTGTTCTTGGTGAGCAGGAACCCAATGATTTCTTCTGCTCTGGCCCATCATTGATTTGTTGGTGGATTTGTCCGTTCTCAGCACAGCAGAGCTCTAAAGAGTGATTCAACATGGTACATGAAATAGAGTTTTTTAATTGGCTATTATTGCAAAACCTGGAATGAACTCAAATGAACTAAATTTTGTGTGCAAACTGCTGAATGAACAATGAACTTCTCATCCAGTCTCTCACTGTCTCATGTGACCCTGACATAGTAGAAAAGAGTGATAAAAAACATCTAACTCATAAATAGTATCACAAATCTAATCCCAAAAAATGACACTTCTCGTGGTTAATAAATCTACTTTGCAGTTTTTCTTAAGGTAACGACACCGCAAACATGTCACTTGCATTTTTTCACATCACCACTAGAGGTCCCTTAACTTCAAAAATGTAACTGTAGCTTGCAGTTTGGACAAATCACCTGTGGGCTCATTTCTGGAGGAGACACCTTCAGCGTTAGGGTCCATTCATTATCTCAAGAATATGAACGCCGAGATATCTCTTGCTGTGTGTCACTGTCCTCACAAATTAGGTGTCATAATCTAAAGCGTGCATTATAAAACGGGGGGTGATAGGTGGGGCTCCCAGTTGAATGATAGTCTGGTTGAACTTTGATTCAGGCATCATCTTTGAAAACAGTCAGTGCTGGAAGAATCTACACTATAAGTGGATTCACAATGCTGCTCAGATCTGTTTTATTTCTCTTCACATTTTTTGTGAGTCTCGTCTCAGGGGCAGGTGTGAGTTTTATATTTCTTTGTTTTTTTAATTTGTGTATAAGTTGCATGACATTGGATACTGCACGCAAAAAATGATAGATTTTATTTGCCTTCAGTAAACAATGTTGACTACAATACAACTGAAATACATAAAATCAAAAGTGTATTTATTGAAATAATTAATCATTAATATAAATGTGCTTGTGACCAATAGGGTCAATTTAATTCAACCAGATATCTAAAATTGTATTAAAGTTTAGATAGATTAGATAAAGTCACATGCGATTGTGATTGCAAATGCTCAAAAATTAATACCTCATAACCTACAGATGAATAATTCTTTTCTCTTTTTAAATATTCCAAACCTGATCTTTTAGATTTTTGCTACTATTCCCAACTTCAATGCAACCACACCTGCACAGGTAAACTTTAAAAAAAATAAAAAAAATAAAATAAAAATAAAACAAGCCAAATGAATGGTTAAACAAAGGAGGCATGTTAGTGGAGCTGTTCTATTCTTCTCCTCACAGGTCCAGAGCTGTGGGGACTGGTTTCACAAACCTGCAATGGCAGATCTCAGTCTCCAGTTAATATTGTCACAAGGAAAGTGCTACCAGATGAACGCCTGACTCCTTTTCACTTCACCGGTTATAAAGAGACTTTTTATGGGAGCCTCATAAACAATGGCCACAGTGGTATGTCTTAATTATAATTGCAAGTTTATTTGAGGAAGACAGTTGACACTATGATGTCAATTCTGGCTGTAAAAATGCAATTACCCCATCTGTAGATAACATGGATAAAAGTATAGGGAGGAGGAGGTGGTAAAATGGACAATAATAGCAACCAAGCGTCTCATGTAACAAAAATACCTTTTAAAATATGTCATGTGCAAAAGCATGTGTCATGTGTGTCATGTGTGATCATTTGTAACTGAAATAATGGGAGCATCCATGGAAGATTGTCTAATGGTTTTTTTTTTATTTTTTAATTCTGAATTTCAGTTCAGCTAAATTTGCCTTCCAGTATACAAATCAAAGGAGGAAATCTGGTTGATGAATACAAGGCAATTCAGTTTCACCTGCACTGGGGCAAAGATGGAGGACTTGGTTCTGAGCACACAATTGATGGAGAAAAGTTTCCAATGGAGGTACAGTATGTCATAATCAGTAGAAATATTTAGTGATTGACACTATATGTATTTAAGTAATTTTATGTATTGGATTCAAATAGATCCTAATTATTCTAATGCAGTGCTTTCTTTTATCTGTAGATGCATATCGTCCATATAAAGAAGAATATGACTCGTTAGCTGAGGCTTCAAAAGACAGTACGGGTGTGGCTGTTTTGGGATTTTCTTTCAGGTACTTGGTAAACATCATTTCAAAAAATGTCCAGCATCCAGCCCAAACCAGTAGTTTAGTTAGTAGCCACAAAAAAAACAACATTTGCAAAAGGCACATTTTAAAACAGCATACAGGTATAATGTTCCCATAATAAGGAAAAATAGACTAACCATTAAAAAAATGGCAGATTATAAACAACAAAAAGAATAACAGCAAGAGTTAAAGCTTTTCTAATTATACTGCTCCCAAATGCAAATAATCTGCTGTATTTGATTATTTATTACATAAATGTGGACCCATCAGAAACATTCCAGAGGACTGCCTTTGCCGTCAGACTGAACAACCCTCCAGCTGCTGAATGATCACATGTCCTGTATAATTTGGCTTTAGTGTGTCTTTAAATCAAATTAGCTCCTGTATGTTGTACTAACTTTGTTTTCTTAATTATAAACTGCTTTTGGTATGACGGTTAACATTTTATTCTTTCGTTTTAGGAGTCTGAGTCTGCAAATGAGAAGTATGATCATCTTATCAGTGCACTGAAATACATATCTCAACCTAGTAAGTTATATCTTCTGAAAAATGATAATAATCTTCTTTTCACCCTCCATATAGAGTCCTAAATATGTAGCTGATTACACTAGGCTAAAGGGCATCTATTATTAGATACACAATGTTATATAACATCCACAACAACACAATAAAACCTTTTTGAAGATTTTTTGAGGATTAGTGATGATTGAAGTCTTTTCTGACTTTCTGACTTTATGTTCTTGTTAACATTCATCAAACCAGAAACGAATGTAACGCTGGTGGGTGTCTCCTGGACATGTTCATTCCTTCTGAATTAACAGGACCAAGTACTTTCGCTACAAGGGCTCCCTCACCACACCTGACTGTGCTGAAGCTGTGGTCTGGACCCTGTTTGAAAGCACTATTCCTCTCAGCAGGAATCAGGTATCATTCCCTACATCGTACTGAATCTATAAAGAAGAGGATTGTAATGAGTTTATCCTTGAAATTTAATTTAGTGTAACACTAAGGCAACTTTTAATAACTTTTTCTTGGAAACTTTTTATAACCCCCAAATGATAATTGTAAATAGTTTCTGAATAAATTTATTTAAACTGGCTACATTTGACACTAATAAAGGTATAACCAGAATCACAGACAAATATTAGACCAATATTAAACGTTATGGCAACCCAAGGTGTTTGCTACAATAACTATAGCCACTAGATGGTAGTAGTTGGTCATTGTAAATTTGTTACAATGGAAACTTAATGTTAAAAATAACAAGAATAATTTCACACATACCTTATGGGTAAAAAAAAAAGCAGTGTATTTAAGTGCTAATGAGGCATATACTTTACCCAAGAAAGCATAGGGACATGAAATGAGATCAGAGAAAAAGAATACAGGGCTTATATGTAATACGTAACACAAGCCTATGCTAATGTGGCTCTTTGAGTTGTTTGCTAACAAATTACAGTTGTTTCCACTGCTCCCAAATTACCCAAAAATGTATTTCAAAATGGATAAACCTTGAAATTATGCTGTCTATATGAAAAATGTGTTAATTTTAATTTATATTACTGAAACATTATTGAAATATTACACATTCAACAACCCATTTAATGTAAAACAAGTGTACTTCTTTGTTTATTTCTGTACTGGTCTCAAACAGTTATATGAAAAAACTGCAGTTATAGTAGAACAAGTATAGTAAAGCAGCAAGTTAACTTTAGTGAGACACACTCTGTTGCCTAGTTATCATTGATAATAGCTGTATTATTAGCAAAGCGTTCTATCATAGTATGCCCCTTGCATACTATTTTTAATAAAAGTACATGTTTAACTGCCTGTTTAATTATTTTTTTGTTACAGCTCACTGCTTTCAGCCAACTTCTGTTTTATGATGGACAGAAAATGGTCAACAACTACAGACCAGTACAGCCTTTGAATGGAAGAGAGGTGTATTACTCCAGTGGCCAACTTGCTTTGGTCAGCTGTGTGTTGTTCACCAAGTCAGTGCTGCTATCCAGTGCAAGCTTTATTTAATTTAATCAATTTTTATGCACAAATACCCTTGTTTGTGACATCTGTTGATTTTCAAATAGAAGAAGAAAAAAATAATGTAGTGTATATTTAAAAGTAAAGGATGTAAATTCAATAGATGCTTCAAAACAACATGTATCAAACACTACATGCTTATTTGAATCGGAATATGTAAGATATGTAAGATTTTATCTACAACAAAATATGTTATTGACAAATAAGTAAATTAGTTACTTTTGGTTTTAAATGTTTCACAATGATGATCTCACTACAATTTACACACATTTTTGGGGGACATAGACTAAATGTTTAAGGATAGTTAGATTGCTTTCTTTGCACTGAATGGGACAACATATGACTTCATTGTGCTTTCAGCAGAATAGCAATAAAGAATTCTGATTCTGATTCACATGTATTCACTTGTGCTGATATAATATTTCTGATAAATATCATGCTGCATTCTATTACATGCTTTCCTACTGTTCTGGAAACATCTAAACTCTGACTTAAAAGTGTCATATTTATTTAAAATACAGACACGTGTTAACACTATAATGTGTATTATTAAGGTATGTTTTACCTATCAATTCTTTGTCATTTGTAATGTCATTAATAATCAAATAAAGTCACGATTAAAGATTTCATGGCATATTCCTGTATGTTTTTTCCTGGATCATACACTTTTAATCCAAATCAGTCATGCTTTCCAATATACAAAGGACTGCTCACCAAACGATAACTTCTTAATAAACCAATTTAACCACACACGACAAATAAACCCTTTTGAATGAGAGCGGCCCTTGTGTCAGAACAGAAATACATTTCAACGTGTTGCTTCACAAGAGCAACGAACAGCAGCAATCGCCAAATTCAAAAAGTAAGATTAAACAGTCTGTTTGCTTATTTATGGTCTTTGTTAGATAAAGACTGAGCCAAGACAGCTGAACAATGTGGCTACGTGCCACATATCCACATGAATGATTAGCTTTTGAAGAGGTGAAAAGGATCAATATTTTACCAAAACACTCAAAAATTAATTAGAATTTGTATAAATCATCACCAATTTTTCTTTTCAAATGTCCTTTTCCAGTAATTATTGATCTCATGATCTCATCTGGTAAAAAAAAGCCTCCCAGCATAGGAGGCCAATCAAACTGCTTGATAAAAGATAATAAATACACACAAGATTTATGGTCAGTTTATCAGAGATTTTGCTTCCACAGCACAGCTATTACAAGTTGTTTGATGAGCAATCATTTCTGGAACTTTTGACATTCCCTACACACATTAGACAGATAAGATACTAAGATGTAATAACACCTGGTTAAGTCAATCAGAGGTCACTAAAATTAATATTGTAACAACATTGTAACCATAACACTGCTGGCTTGTCTAGTCCCCTCTCCAATCAGATCAGGAGTGACATATTTAGCCACATGTTTCCCTTAAATTGCTCGCTGTCTGAGTGATGTGGGCTTTATAGATAATTGAGAAACTTGTTAGGAGAGATGACATCCATCCCAGCACCTCTCATTTGTAGAAATCTGGCAAAATTCATTAAACTGCCCAGAATAAGATAAGAGACAAGATAAACATTTATTAGTCCCACACATGGGAAAGTTTTTAAAATGTGACTATCCAGAATTGGGACCAGTAACTAGAGTTACAGTCTCCCACTCCAGATTGTTAATCAACCAAAGACCCAGACGGGGTTTAATTCATTTGAAAGTCTGATGCTTACCCTTGTTCCTAGTTGGAAAACTCATAAGTCTTATTTGTTATTATCTGTTGTTCACCCGGCTGGTTTCTGTCTGATTTCTCAGACTTTTTATCTGATTTAGTGCTCAGCTCAGATAAAGCAATTATTGTAGATACTAAAAATATTAGCCTCAAGATAGCATTTAGTCTATTATTAGACTCAATTGCCTTTTTAATCACACTCTAGTGTTTCTTGTTAGAAACTAAACATTTAAATTCTTTTTCTGAAAACCCTCTTTTGTCTGATCATTTCCTAATAGCATTTACATTTACAATGATGGATTACACAGCAGTGAAAGTCTTTCTGAAAGTGCTGTAACTAAGATTAAGGGTATAATTCATCCACTGACATCTTGTCCAATACCTTGTGCTAACACAGTGCAGACTAGCTATCTGAGGGCTACTTCCAGAGAGGCAGATTATCATATTAATAATTTTACTATTTCTACTCTTTTTTTACCCCAAATTAACCTTTCTGGGTTAACTTCAGTAATTACTTTTCCCAAACCATCAGCTTTAGGTATTGAAGGTACAAGGTACTTGTAGTGGTTTGAATCAGATCTATCTAATAGATCCAATAGGTGTAAATGGAGTGTCCTCTTCACACACTTAAGTTAATTATGGATTTCTGCAGAGTTCTGTGCTAGGACCAATTCTGTATTCATTATACATGCTTTTCTTAGCCATTATCATTAGAAGGTATAGCATACATTTCACTGCTATGCAGATGAAACCCAACTTTATCCATTCATGAAGCCAGATCACACACACACCAACTTAAACTGCAGGAATGTCTTTAGGACATAAAGACCCGGATTGCCTCTAATGTTTTGCTTCTAAATTCAGCTAAAACTGAAATATCTCAGAAATATGGTATCTAACCAGATTTTTACACTGGATGGTATTCCTTGGCCTCCAGTAACACTGTTGGGCCAGTAACACATATCCTGTCATTTTTGACCAGGATATGTCCTTCAATGCACATATTAAACTACGTTTTAATATATATGTGTGTTTTCTTCTATTTGTGCAATATCTCTAAAATTAGAAACATCCTGTCTCAGGGCTGGATCAGGTGACCCTGAATTCTCCCTTAGTTACAGTGCAATAGGTCTAGGCTGCAAGGGGATTTCCATGATGCACTGAATGTTCCTTCTTCATTCACCTTTTTCACTCACTATGTGTTCATACACCTCTTGTCTTGCTCACAGGGGGGCATTTAACTTTTAGGATTTTCTCTGTTTTCTTTGTATTATTGTAGGGCCTTTTCCCCTACAGTACAAAGCGCCTTGAGGCAACTGTTGCTGTGATTTGGTGCTAGATATATACAACTGAACTGAATAAGATGTTATTTCATTGATCTGTGTAGTCCTAAATCCTTGTTTCTTTTTTCTTTTGAGATACTGAATAACTAAATACAGAGCAAGTACATGAAAGTGACTGAAATTTTTTTCTCATCAAAATCTCTTGACTGTATAGCAGCACTGATCAGGTGCATGACTAGCAGCAGCAACACAAGGCACATACTGAGTTTAAGAAAGTGCAAGAGGATTCTTGGACAGTTAATTTCTTCCATCCTTGGGGATGGAACCAAACCAACAGTGATGATAATAAGAAATCTAGATGCCTAAAATGAGAGAGAAACAGGAAAGGTGAACTTTTCTTGACAGATTCAGATTATATCTGCCGCCCTGTTGCTCATTCTAATGCCTTCTGAGTTGTTTATATTTTATTTACAGCTGCTCTCATGAGCTCAATGGTCAAAGGTAAAACATAATTCAATTAAAGCCCTGCTGGGAGGATAATACCTACCGGTGTCATTAGGTGCTGTGCTCGTTTTTGGCCCCTTGACGCTATCTATATCACCCTAAGTACTTTAAGGACTCACTTAGGATATAATCCCATGTTGCACAGGGATAGATGGCTGATGCAAGGACAGCCTTTGGTGCAACAGTGCTGAGATAATCAGAGAGATGCACAGTCATGCTGGCCTGCTGCAAAGACTCACTGCTGTTTTTTTCAGCCTTCACAAAGGTACAACCTATATGTGTGTGTGTGTGTGTGTGTGTGTGTGTATCTGTATGTGTGAGTGTGTATGTGTATGCTGGCTGGCTTAATATTTGATGACTTGCATAAAAAGAAACTTATTGTCTGGTGTTGCATTTTGATGATCTTCTCCATTACTCTCTTTCTGCTTGTTTCTGGCTCCGTTTTCTTCTAACGAGGACATCTTTTCTCGGTTTGTGCACGCCACCCATCCCCCACTTCCTCTTATTTCACTTGGTGTGACTCTGAGGTTTGGGTTGTCGTGACAACAGAGGACACAGGCCCATCTCTATTCTGTTTGCAAAGTTTCTGTTGTTGCAAGCATATTGCACATTTGCTGCTGGGATAGGGGAAGAGCCTTGCACCACCATCCCCCACCCACACCTTGTCACAAACATGCAGGCGTGAATGAGTTCTCAGAATTATAAATGAGATACAAAGTGCTTCCTGTAATTTATACACAATGTTTTAGACTTGCAAGACAGTAATGTCTGACTTTTGAGGACCGTGCTGAGGAGCACCGCTCTCCCTTTGCTAACATAAACCTTTAAGAGCTTCAGCATCTCCAAAGTGAGCTCCCTCAATCAATAAGTCTACTTTGACTCACTTTGATCTTTTATCATTACATTGCTATTTCAGTCAATCCTTAGTGCTGCATTGGCAAAGAGCTACGAGATCATTGGTACACATCCACATAAATTATTATCAAGATCAATATCTATCTGCTTCAGAGACTGACTTTTATTTTAAAAGCAGTTGCCACCTCGTAAAAGTATGTCCTTAAAAGGGTTGAGATCACGCTTGGCAGCAGCGGTGCAGTCGGCCAGGACCTGGGTGTACACTCTGAATTTGCATATGTGCATGTGTGTGTGCGCGCTTGTGGTTGTGTCTGTGTGTGCAGATGTGCAAATAAATACTTAAATTAGACCTCCTAAGATAAACGACGTTAAATTCAGAGGTACTTTTAGGTTGTGAAAATAGATTGATCTGATATTTTTACTTAGTGTGAACACAAAAAAGAAATATGAAGTATAGTACAAGTACATGTTTAGGTGTGTACGAGGTAGTTGGACTAACAGCAGCTACAGGTTCATAAGATTACATACACATCAAATTTAAAAAATCTCTACAAAAAGCTGTTAATACAACTAATAATTCCTGCTTTATCTTAAGGAAATGTGCAAATACTATTTCAACTACTGTGTGGTGTGTGTGCGTACGTGTGTCTTTGTGGGTGTGCATGTGTGTGTGCACATCTGCATATACTTGCATGCATGTATTTTTTGTGTGTGTGTGTGAGAAACTGTTGGGGCTTTTCCTGTGTAAACCACGTGGCTCAGACAGGGTTAATAAAAAGATCACGCTCACTTCTGGGTTTTCTTTCTTCCTTGGACTCCAAACGCTGGTAAGACCCTGATGACAACTTGAAAATCTGATGATCAACGTTTTTTAAACACACTAACATACTAAGACATTACTACTTCATTTCAGCCTAATTTTGAGCAAAATGTCAAGTCTTTTGAATGTTTTTCTTTCTTTTTATCAAGAATGATAACGTGAATTTTGATCGTGTGTTCGGTTCAGTTTGTGAAGCCTTGCCTTTGATTAACCTTCAGTTTTCAGTATTTGCGGTGGATCGACCAGAAGCTACTTGATGTACAGTGTTGTCACCCATAAAGTAGAAAGCACTACTAAACTTTACTACACAGTGTAGTGTTTCCTACTTTATGGATGAGTATACTGTTTGCTGCAGAGGAAAGTAAAAGAAGAAACCAGACCGACTATATGAACATTTGAAAACCTGCTGAACTTCTTTGTTATTTTAACCAATAAATTTTGTATTTCTTTTTATTACAACAAATGTATTTACCAGACAAGAAAAGAACTGAATGTCAATTTTTGGTCCATTGTTAAAAAGAAAAATCAGGTAAGGAAAGTAAGAATTAGGACAGTTTATTTTCAGTTTAACTACAGCTCTTACATTTGTTACATGATTAAAACTTTTTTTCAGTTATAACAAGAGTCTCTTTATTTTTACAAAAAATTGCTGCAAAATTCAAAATGTTTTTTTTTCTTTTTAAATAACTTATATGAAATAAGCCAGTGATAGAAAATATATACACAGGGCATAAGGCAAAAAATGGAAATGCTATATCAAAACACTGGGGAGAAAGAAATCTGTAAATTGTGTATTATTAAGGCTAAAATAATTTATCCATTCCCATCAGGTAATTTATTTAGCAATTCAGTTCTTGTGTTTTTGTGAAAGCGCCTAAAGCAAAAATTGCCAGACAAAACATTTAGTATCTTACCTGTAATTTTCAAAATATGCATTATTGTAAATATTCTGTTTTTTTGTTGTTCATGGTTTTTTTTTTGGTTTTTTTGGGGGGGTTTTTTGCATCAAAGGGTTTGTAAGTATCTGTTATTTCAATAAAGAAACATTTAAACAAAGGTCTGAACTCTTTTTAGTTTTGAGCATTCTTATTGATACTGACAGAGGGGTTCATTAGCTGCTTACTTTCAGTCTAAAACGGATGCAGTTAGTAGAATATAAAAATAAAATAAACTATTTTTTGATATATGAAGTGTCCTTTTAGCCATATTTTACATAGAAACTTCTGGTTTCTCACTGCGTCTGTGACTTGGCATTTGTAGCAAACAGCTTAGCGTGCATTTTCTTCTAATCCCAGGGAAACAGCTGCAGAAAGTTTGATGGAACCAAACCTCGTTGTCCGTGAAGATCTCCCTGAAGTTGAAATTAAAGTTTAGCTTCTGTACAGACATCAGTATGAAAACTAAACACCAGTCACTGTATTGTAAGTGCAAGGATGATGCTTACATAGTAAAACCCATCTTGATCCATGTCACCTAAAACATATATGATATCTCCCGAACGAAAGCCGAGTTCAGCCTGTAAGACAGAGCAAGTCAAAACCAGTTTGTGTAAAACAGTAGATTAACAGTAGACTTAAACAGTAGATTAATCTTCATATTTTAAATATATAATATATGGTAATGTTACTTCACAGTGCTTACTTCACTGTCCATGTTGGGTGAGTTTTCCCATGGATCATAGTCAAATAAGGCTACCATTCGTCTAACAGCCCCACTGTCAGGGATACTGGTGACATCGCTCAGGTCTGGTGTTAGAGACATGCCTGCAGTACGAAAAGCAAACGTCCCAATGAAGCTTTCATGCTAACATAGGAGATAAACAAACACTCCACGCAGTGACAGTGGTAGTGTCATATTTTTACAATCAGTAAATTTTGCATTCACATTTCTAAGCGACGTGCGTGATAATTTTATTCACTGTTATTTGTCCTAATATCTGTTGTAAACTTCCTGTAGGGAGGAGCTCATTGCAAACATCCTCTCACAGATCATCTCTGAACGGCCTCGTTCCAAATTATGCCACAATAATTGTTTTTCAATTATACTTCAGTTACCCCAGCAACACTGTTTTGCCAGCGTGTTACAGTAAACAGGCTAATACCTGTGTGGTCCACGGGGAGGAATCCCTGCTGCATGAGTAGATGCTTCAGATACTCATCATCCACTGGGATCTCAGCCACCATATTACTCGGCACATAGCCAGAAAGCCCGCCAGACTCACCATGATAAAACCCATCTGCGTCTTTGTCTCCAGTAACCTAAAAAAAACCAGCACCAGCAGTTACTTTTATAACTTTAGGCTTGGTTTCTGAATAAAAGAGTGTATTTATTGCATACATGTATTTGTCTGTATTTATGTGATGCAGCAGCAGACAGATTCAGAGAAAAAAGGCGGTAAATCACATCAATCAGATGAAAAAGGTGACAGGAAATGAAGAAAAAAAACCTATTGTCTTCTTACACATTTAACTGTCGTGACTCCAGCACAAACAGGAAACACTATAGGTTCTTTCAAAGAACATTTTGAACTGATGAAGAGATGAAACGCAACTCAAACACAGAGAAGCGCTTCGGTTTAGTATTGTACAGAGTGCATGAAATTACACTTAATCTTACCTTGATGATCTGGCCTGGCACAAAGGGCAGCTCTTCTGCAGCTGTCTCGTGGTTTGGAGACATGGCAGCCGGGTTGTACGGGTAAAGTGCAACAAAGAGCCGGACGGTGGGTATGGACACCTGGCTCGCAGTTTCCAGCTCCCAGTCCCTGAGATCCTCCGGAGTAGCGATCCTTACTTCATCTGGGTATATCAAAACATCCAACTCGAGCCTTGTCTCCATTTACAGCAAAGTGAGTGCTCGACTGTCCACCTGGCAGACAGATGGCCACTGTAGACAGCAGACCTCTCCTTAGCCTCAACCTAATGTGAGGTAACTAAGCTAAGCACAAGGAACAGTAATCCTCTTTGAAGCAAGTAGATAGATTCATTAGTTCAGCACTGCCAAACTGCACTGTGTGCAAAGCAACAGGAGCACAAGATGAAATAACTTTAGTTTTAATGCAGATATTTGAAAAGCAAAAATGCTTCCAAATATACTTGAAAGGAGAAGTTCAAAAGTAGAGAAAACAGACCTTTTTAAAAAAATATTTCTTAATGACACATAGATACGTTTAACTGTAGCTCTGTTCGTAATATTTATTTTCTTTTATATACTTTCTTTTGCATTGGTCCTCGTCTCATAGGCCTCGCCAGAGATACTGGCGGGTTTTATCTGGTTGCTCTGGTTTTCTTCTGAAGCGTTGCAATTTATTTTCTTTTAAGTAAAACAATGGTTCTGGTTGGAGAACAAAGCCCTTTATCAGTGTGAGTGTGAATAGTTCAGTGTGGCTGGTTGTGTACAGTGTAGAGTGTATAGTTTATATGTGGCTCTGCTTCCTTAAACTATCAAGCCTTGCTCAATTAAGGAAGTAGCCTTGTTTTCTTGTTTCGTCTTATTGCTCCTCCTCCTCCTGACATGACCCAGTTTTCATCGCTGAAAGTCGACACTTCCTTTCTTCACCTGTGGCCAAGTCAGCAGGTGATAATCTCCTCCAGCAGAGATTATCAATCATTGCTGCTGTTTACTCTTCCAACCATTAACTGGCGCTATGTTGTTTGAATAACTGAAAGTTGTATCTGAGGAAGTTGAGGCTGAGTAGCTTCAGGTGTTGTTGATTTTATTCACTTCATTAATTTTGTTCAGTTTTTGTTTTTTTGTTTGTGTATGTTTTGGACTTTGAGAAATGCTTTTCTGTAAAGACTGAAGAATATTATCTTTCTTTATGTATTAACTGCCACTATTCATTACTTTAGCTTACTCAGCCCTCATTTTCCCATTATTCCCCATCTGATTTATTTTGTCTCACCTTTATTTGACAGGACAGTGTAGAAAGTAAACAGGAATGAAGCGAGAGAGAGGGTGAAATGCAAAAAATGGACTCAAACCTCAACCAGATGAGCTAAACTGGTGCCCAATTATGTTTCAGTTTTACTGCTGAGAGACAAAATCTGTGTTTTAATGTTGATGATTAAAAGAAGAACCAGCGAACATGTGCACTCACTGCTTTTTGTCCTCTTCAGTTGTTAGTTAGGCTTTTCAAAAGTCAGTTTTCATTCAGACAGTCATTTGTTCTCATATGCCCTCTTTATTATTTTTGCTCTTTTGGATCATTTTGTTCTTACATTATGAGCCAAGCAGGCTTTCCAATTAACATCTTTGATTATTTTGAGTTAAATGATTCAGGTTCTGTTACTTGCTTCCAAACGATTATATGATTAGTTTGTCTGTTTATCTGTTTGCTAGCAGCTAAAGAAAAGCCACAGACAGTTTTAGATGAAATCTTTACCAGAGATAAAGCTAGCCCTAACATAGATTCTTTCCCAATAAGAAATAGAGCATAACTTGACAAATACACATTAAACTGAAATAAGAAATGTTGGTAGACATCTCCTTCTTGTTATCACGAAATTATCAAAAACAAATCTGGACCCAGGGACCAGGTTGACTGTTGGTGATATGTGACAGAATCTTGTTTTCTTAACTAACAAAAGAACCATTTTTAATAATTATTAATCAGAAAAATCTACATGGAGGTGTAAAGCAGGTTCAGGGAGTTGGTGCAGTCTATTCAGTATAAATCAGCATATCAACCACACCCCACTACTCTGCGGAGGGCTATGTATGATTAGTAGGTTTTATTTTTGATTTGGTTTGGATTATTTTTGCATTTTTACTGGAATACTACAATTTTTCTCGCATTTATGAAATCATGTAACTACAATAATGAAATTTGTTTGCTTTTTTCTCATTACACATCCTAATAGATGGAAAAGAAGGATGTATAGGCCAAGTTTATGTAGCTCTAAAGATATAAATAAATAGATTAATAAGAAAGAAAGAAAGAAAGAAAGAAAGAAAGAAAGAAAGAAAGAAATAAGGAACGATTTTCTTCGTTCCTTATTTCTATGGATGCCTAAGATTAGGTCATTTTTGTATTAAATTTTGAATTAAACTCATTGTTTGTATAACAAAAATAGAAAAGAAAAAACACCAACTTGCTAACATCATTTAGTTCGTTTAGCCAAACTGACCACTCACCCCTGGAGGGAGCCACATGTGCCCACATGTGGCTCCAAAGTCACAGGCTTGAGACCTCTTAAAGGATTTAATAAAACAGGCTCCAAAAATTACTCTTGGTTTCAGTGAGCAACAAATTGAAAACATTTCTCATTCTCACTTGTTCTCTTGTCATTTTTTATGTTTGCCCAGAAGAGGGAGCTGTTGCATGTTTCTAAGTATAATAAAGAGTCTGCTGTAAAATTAGTCAGTTTAACAAGTTCATGTGACATCAAAGTTTTAGATACATATTGACTTATAGGTACATACACAGACACCTATACTAAGAACTGCTGTCCTTATAAATGCATATCACTCTAAATTGCATATAAATGTACTTAAAGCATCCGAATAACTATTGAGAGTCAGATCCCCCCCCTCTGGTATTCATGTATATCCTTTAATAACTGTTGTAATTAAATAATTAAAAAGCTTTCACTGCGATTGTATATGTTTTAAGTCTTTCAAAAAGGTTTCACCTCATACTCGCTTACATACAGTTTGGGCCATTATTTCTTACACTGCTTTATAATTATTCTAATAATTTTTGTATATAAAACTTATACTTAATATCAACAGAACTATTTAGTGCCCTTCTTTTATTCAAGTGTGGAGAGCTTGCTGTAATTAAAATCATAACTTTGGCAAGCCACTCTTTATTTTGTTAATACTTTTACCAGTGTAGCAAAATACAACAATTTAGTGCATTTTATATGAAAACTGAGTGCGTGTTCACAATACTCTCTTAGCTGTGTGCTCCAGTCATTTCAGGTGTGACCCAGTCTCCTTGATTGGAATCTGATATTGATGTTAGCTGCAAAACAAGTAAAGGTTAGTAGGCCAGCTGCTAGGTTAGGTCATTAGCAAATGGTAGGGTCAGCACATAAGCCAGGAGAACTTTAGGGTCAACATTGATTCATTGAGAGAAAAGTTTGATTTTGTCTAATGTGAACATGGTTTTCCTGTTTATGTAAAAGAGCAGAATCAACTTTCTGCGATATTGTGTCAGAAGTTTTGGATTGCACTCTCAAACGAAATAAAATGGAATTCCTTATCCTGTTATAATAAGTCAGTACCTTATAACCATAAAATAGAAACCATCAAAGCAGGTGGCATAGTTAACGGGGGTTAGTAATATCATCTCAGAGCAAGAAGGTTCTTGGTTTGAACTTGCCCCTTGGCTCGGGCCTCCCGGTATTTTCCCTGTGCCACAGACCAAAGATATATGGTTAAGCTAGTTAGTGACTGACTATAAATTTGCCGAAGGGTTGGATGTGAAAGTAAATTATGTCTGTTTTTCTATGTTTGCCCTGTGTGGAATGGTTCCTTGCCTCTTGGCCTGAGAGCTGGCTCCAATCCTAATTTGGTTAAGTTGTTAAGAAAATGTATGGATGAAGGTTATAAAACCTTAAACTTGAGCTTTCTCATTAAGCCCTTGCTTTTGCAGCTTTTGATTCAACCTTTGGACAAAAAAAGCCTGTCTCCTGTTAGATTCTGCAAATCTGTTTGTATTAATATCATTTTTCTCTATCTATCTAGCACCACTGGCTAACCCAGAGCTAATCTCCCTCTTTACAAGTGTAGATTAATTCAAGATGAAAAGTTGCAACTTTGCATTTTGAGAGAAGGATGTCCAACAGAAAAGAGCGTGTAAAAATTTTAAAACACTTTTACAAATAAAACTACCAAAAACTAGTAGGTTAAGAGAATGCTGTTGAACTGCTATGCTTGTAGTGCAGAGATGGTGCATTTTTTCTATATTGTCGAAAAAAAAATACTATCAGGTAAATATTACTACCTGATAGTATTTGTTCCCGTCTTTGTTCTGTATGGTGTCATTCGTGTTTTAAATTGGAAAAAAACTGCATAGACCAAAAGAGAAGAGAGACATATAAAGGCAAACCACTAGTTGTACTGACGTGGTTTTAAAATCATCTACATTAATAAATGCCAACTACAACAACAAAAAAAATGTTTTAAGGGTGTAATTGTTACCATAATGGTCAGACCAGTCCAACATAAGGGCATTGTAAAGGGCACAGCATTTCTTGTTTTTCATCAGAAGGGCTGTTCACCTTGTGTTCGTTCACTGCAAGAGCACTCATCATGGCATCATGTTCTCTCACACGTGACAGCACCCTAATAATCACTAATCGTGTTTTTACTCACTTGAAATAGCACCCAGTTCTGCACTTAGGCATGTTAGAGGCACAATGGATCACATCTTTTCCACTTCTTCTTCATACCTCCCCCATAATTACAACAGCAGCTCATATGACACTGCATTGCATCTCCTTTATTTAAAGGCACTTTATCATGCTGCCTTGTAGGTGAGTGTAGTTACTGTCCATATTCTACCAATGTGAGTGCGGTCAAGAGGGCATTTAATCCTGTATTAAACATAAATAAGATGAATACTGGAGAGCTTGATATGCTTTTTCCCTTGATTGGAACTTTACAAAGCTTTTTTTATGCTTGAGTCTCACTCTTACTACACTTTATTGAGGTATTTCCTCTCCTTGGGGGAAGAATTGGCCAGTGAGCAATGTTATCAGTCATTACCATGCTGTGTCATGGTGACCACCTTCCCTGCCAGACCACAAATGTAATTACACCTACCTATAGTGATAGCTTTACTGATTTATCTTGCCTACAGTTGCCTATTGTGCATCTACAAGCTGCTTTGCAACCCACCTGCCCCTCATCTCCTTGTTTTCATGTTGTGCCTGACTGAATAAAACCAATCTGTTATCAGTGATGCCTGCTTTGTTCTGTATGGTGTCACTCATGTTAAAATACCCTTTTCTTTGAAAGACCTCTTTACTATGTTTGGAGCTTTGAAATGTGATTATTTGATATATAGTGTAGCTTTCTTGGACGTTACTGGTTAAAGAATAGCGCTTTCTAACCAAGCTGGCTAACTTTGGCTGATAACTCGAAATCTTGTCCAAATATGGTAGCTTCTGACTCTGACCATCTTAAACAGCTGGCAAATAAAGGAGGCCAAAATGCTAACGTTAAGGTTTCAAAATGGAAAGTTCAAAATAATAGGGTCATGTGATTATAGTGGATGAATTCATCTTTATCTGTGTTTGGATCAAGCATTTAGTGCAGAGATGGCGAAGTGTGGATGCAGTGTATACATCACAAACCTTTGAAGTTACAAAACTGACTTAAAAAATAGTGTCTATATAATAATGTTAAAGTCATGTTTGCTGAAATTAAGGCTAACAAGCAAGGCTGTGAACCTGTGTACTCATTGGTTAATGGCTTGTCAATAATTGTAACCTGGATGTCCCACCTTTCTGACACTAGGAATGACCAGAATTTTCAAAATGGACTAAATTTTTTATAAGTATGACCCAAAACTAGTGACTGTGCCATTAAACTCACTGGAAAAGTGTTTTCTTTACTTAGGGAAAAGGGCTGGGTTGTTTTTTTTTTGTTTGTTTTTTTTGTAGGCTTCTGTTTTGCAGCCAAAGCTATCGCACCCTGGAGGCCTCTAAAAAGAATGCAGTTTAAGGCACTGCAATGACTTCACTTTTCAGTCCCAGAAGCTACACCCATCTTTTATATTGTCTATCCTTGCAATACAATGGCCTCAGCTGTGTGATGTCAAGATGCAAGATACAGCTGCACTCCACCTTTTCATTCAAGTATGGGCACTATACTGGATCCGAAAAACTAACATAACAGCGCGGAAAATACACAGTCCAAAACCGGTGGGTGACGTCACCGCGGTATGTCCATCATTTATACAGTCTGTGCTTTAGGCAGGCCTTTTTGTCGCTCTGCTGGGGACCCCATTTCCCATAATTCATCTATAGCTCACCTTTGCTCCCATCCATCCATCCCCATAGGCCTGGCCCTCTACTTCCCATGTATGGAGTGTTACATCATTGGCACAGACACCCACCTTTTCCAGTGATGACGCAGCCCGGGAAGAGTGTGTGTGTGTGTGTGTGTGTGTGTGTGTGTGTGAGGAGGAGGAGGAGGGGGGAGAAGGAGGAGGAAAGGCAGGGAGGGAGGGAGCGAGGAGAGGGTGTCCCGTCTGCACGGAGCTCAGACAGACAGCAGGGAACAGCTGCAGCATTAGGTTCGCGTAGGATTTCACTGCATTGCGATTTAAAATTTAAGTAATTTCTTTCCCCAAACTTCACGTAGAGCAGCTCGACAAAGCAACCAAACATCATCTAAAAAATGGTTGATCGCGAGCAGCTGGTGCAGAAAGCCAGGCTGGCTGAACAGGCTGAGAGATATGATGACATGGCAGCTGCTATGAAATCGGTAAGTCAATTCAAAATAACAGTAAAATACAAAAAAAGAAAGATGATAACTGTGGCTTACATGTGCGTGAATATCGGTGTAAAGCTGGTGCGTTTGCGTAAAGGCTCGCCCTGCGTAAAGGCTCGCAGCTGTAAAGCTGCGGTTACAACTGGCTCTCGATATTACAGCACTACATCTGGGGGTCATTCTGAAATAACGTTCATTGTGTTTATTGTGCTGTCGCCAGTTCACTGACAGCTCAGAGGCTTTTTTTCTGATTCCCGTCCAAATCGGCTCCTCCTTGGGCGGTGCCTTTCTATCGGCCGTGCCGCTCATTGAGGGCGCGTTACAATGAAACGCATGCAGGCCCGAGCTTTCACTCTCAGGCTAAGAAGAGACTCGAATCGTGGAACGGCTCTGCTCTGACACATTTGCTGATTTCCTTTTTTCTCTCCCCTTCTTTCACCACCACACCTCCCATTCCTCCAATTTGCTGAATTTCTAAGAGCTTCTGCTGCTGGGAGCCATGTGAGGTTGCTCAGGAAAAAGCCTATCAACTGCTCTTGCCCCCCCTTCTCCTCGTCCTCTTCTCCTCCCACTCCTCCTCCGCCGCCTCCTCTCCTCTCTCTTTGTCACATAAATTAAAACAATAAGAATGATGGCGATCATTTTAATGTTTCTACTCGAGGCTTGGAGGATAAATTGGAGCATGATTGCTTTGGACAAAGAAAAAGCTTTCATAAACTAAACGCTCTCCTCCAAACAAACGTAGGAGGCAGCAGAATCTCTCTAGAATATTCTTTGTCATATTGCAGTGAGTCAGTGTGGTCAGATTTGATTACAGGAATTTCCTTCCTATTTATTACTTTATTTGTCAGATATCACCTTCTGTGCATGCTGCTTGTGTATCAAGGGCTGATATCTGGTAGCATTTTAATGCCATTTTTGGTTAATGACCCTGGTTAATGGTGTAATATTTGATGTGAAGAAGATGACATGCTGGCCTGCCTCACTGTAGCTTTCTCAGCTCTTAATGGATGGTGCTGAGGACAGAGCCTTTGTCTGCCTTTTTTTTTTTTGTTTCTCTGGCCCCTTAAGAAATTCTGGGAAGTGGATTCAGTAACAGGTTTTTTTTTAAAAAAACTGCTGTGTCACACCAGCTCATACTGGAACCAGCAACATCCCGGTAGTCTCAGCACAGCGTCCGTGAGCTCACACACGGATTAAAATCATCCCACACTTTTTAAAACGAGGAACATTTTGCCTTATGCGAGATGGGTTGAGCCCCCGTGGAGCACTTGTCATCGAGGGTTTCTGGTTGCAGGAGGTGGGATGATGTGCGTGCAGGGGAGGGATTCCTTTCTCTTTAAGCAATCTGCCATGTCAGTGCGGTCCAAAGTGGGCCCTTTTGCAGGGGTGTGTACTCTCCCTCTCTAATCAAAGGGAATCCCTCGCCGTTGCAGCCAGAGAAGACAAATGATAGGCTGTCACCGTTGTGTTCCTCGTGAAAAATGTAGGCAGAAATGTGAATAATTACAAGAAATGCCCTTCAAAAGTTTCCCAACCAGTGCTGATAGACAGCCCAAAAGACAGAACTGGCACAGAACTCTTTTCACAGCTGATCTCATTTTTGCCTGATAAAACATTTAAACGACTGATTGATAACTCTGTATCAACCTCAGTCGTTCTTGTCTTGTTTTATGACCATGTTATCAGCAATGAGGTATTTGTTTTATTTTGTACATATATAATAGTATAACTATACTTATATATAGTGTACTAGTGTAGTTCCAGTTGGAAGCATCACAATAATTAGAGCAGTGACCTGTTTCCTTTCTTTTTACAACAAAACCCCCCCACATAGGTTGAGTCATCAGATTAGCAGTAATCTACCTCATTTGACTGTTTTGTGTGTTTTTCATCTGCAGTCTGATGGTATCACTGGGTTTGTGTGACAGTTTTGAACAAGCAGAGCAAAGGCCACTCAATCCCTATGAGTTGAGAGCTTTGCTCTCCATCGCTGTGACATCAGCGAGTCTGCGCCATGTTTGTGCTCCTCTGCCTGAGCAGAGAATGTCAGACCTGCTCAGGAGAAATGTTTGCACAAAACGAAAAGCTTTTTGAGTAAAACCTGCAAAAAAATTGTAATAAGCTCTTTCTTCTTTTCTTGGTGAAAGGTTATGATAAGCCTAAGCACCATGTTTCGTACCGATTATTGATCTGCAAGAGTCCATGTACCGGCACAAACTACGTTTCCAATATAAAAGCCTCGAGTTACATAACCCAGTCTCTTTGAGGACTGCCTGGCCAGCATTCGGATTCATCAAAATCTCAAATTAACAGCCTAACTCAGAGTGATGTCACCGTGTGGTGTTTTAGACAGGTAAAAAGGTCAGTTTCAGTTGGGGAGAAGGTCACTGGGACATGTGAACCGCCTGAGCAGTGATGGTTTTCATTTACAGTGCAGCTGCCCCCGAGTGCTCGTGGGAACATTTTAGCCATCTCCAGTCCTCCTTTCCTCTCCCAACCCCCCACTGCTGCCAACTATCTTGAATATCATTTCTCACTAACTAGCATTAGCTGTCCACGTGGCAGCTGAAGCTACTGGTGCACTAAATGAATGGATTGCCATGGAAACTGGAATTGCACATGACGTGAAATATTGCTCATCTTCTTTGCTGCGGATGGCCCCATTAACCCAGGTTATTTCATGCAAAAGAAGCCCGAGTTGTGGCAATTAGGACTGCAACTAACAGCTGTTTTTGTTATTGGTTGATCTCTACATTTGTTTAGTCTTTAAAATTAAAAATTTCATGGAGTTCTATGCTTCCATTACAAACCACTAAAGAGCACAAAATCACCCTGTTTTGAGAAGATGCAACCGTTAAACAGCAACAGCCTTGTCATTTTTACTAAATCATATTACTGACTTCTTGAGGTCATTTCTTGGATGAAATGTTCTTGCTTTAACTTTTTTTTTTCCCACAAAGTGAATGTAGTCTGGTGCTGTTATTTAACAGTCCATCTGCTTCTTCTTCTTTTTCTTGTTCTTCCAGGTAACAGAGCTGAACGAAGCCCTGTCCAATGAGGAGAGGAACCTGCTGTCTGTGGCCTACAAGAACGTGGTGGGTGCCCGTCGCTCCTCCTGGAGGGTGATCTCCAGCATTGAGCAGAAGACCTCGGCCGACGGCAATGAGAAAAAGATTGAGATGGTGCGGGCCTACCGGGAGAAGATTGAGAAGGAGCTGGAGGCCGTGTGCCAGGATGTGCTCAACCTCCTGGACAACTTCCTGATCAAGAACTGCAGTGACACGCAGCACGAGAGCAAAGTGTTCTACCTGAAGATGAAGGGCGACTACTACCGATACCTGGCTGAGGTGGCCACGGGAGAGAAGAGGGCCACCGTGGTGGAGTCTTCAGAGAAGGCCTACAACGAGGCTCACGAGATCAGCAAAGAGCACATGCAGCCCACCCACCCCATCCGCCTGGGCTTAGCTCTCAACTACTCTGTGTTTTACTACGAGATTCAAAATGCCCCCGAGCAGGCCTGTCATCTGGCCAAGACCGCCTTCGACGACGCCATCGCTGAGCTCGACACCCTCAACGAGGACTCCTACAAAGACTCCACTCTCATCATGCAGCTGCTCCGAGACAACTTGACACTGTGGACAAGTGACCAGCAGGATGACGAGGGAGGGGAGGGCAACAATTAAAAAGAAACCGCACTTCGAAAAAAAAAATATGAAGGGCCGGTGGACTTTGGCAGCCGCTTTTGCCGATGATACTACCGCAGCAGCAGTTCTTTATTTTTCCATGTGTTAAAAGAAAAGAATCAAAAGAGAGGTGAGAGTGGAGGTTAAATCTTAGTTTAAATATATATAGAAATATATATACAGTTGAAAGGGGCCTCCGTCTTCTTGATTTTCTCTTTGACATTTGCCAAAACCACTGATATGTCAGTCAATCAGCCTGAAGTGGTTGTTGTTGGATTGAAATGGCAGCCTCACACTGGCGTAGGAACTGAACTTGTTCTGTCAAGATAAGCTGCTTAGTTAGGTTTTTGCGTGATAGAGATGCATTTGAGTCACTTGAGAGAGAAAATGCTTGAATGGGAATGCCTCACAAAACTAGTTTGCATTGGTTCCAGTAGTAGTCTACGTAAGAGAAAGAGCCCTGAAAGCCACTGATGCTTTAAACTCACACTAGCAAACAAAGAGAAAGTTTCAAACCAGTCAAGTCCCCCAAATTTTAGAGGTTAAATTAGACGGGAGTGAAAATATCTGAGGATTGGTTAGTTAAATTTAATTCCCCTCGTTCTATTAGTCCGTTTTGTCGCTGGAACCATCGATTCCTTTGGAGGTGAAGATTACTAAAAGGCAGAGACTTAACAAAATAAAACGAAAAAAAAAGACAAAAAATACAAAATAAAAGCAGCTTCAGAGTTTGTGGTTTACTTCTGTGTTTGTTTTATTAAATGCACTTGCCTACTATACTGTTTCTTCAGTGTAAGATGATGACAACAATAATATCGATTATTCAATATTGTGCATGCCGGTGATGTATTTATATACAGTAGCTTGACTTTATTAACTTATACTGTGGGTGTTAAGTATTCATATGATTGAGAAAAACAGGCTTTGTCTGATGTTGATTTCTAATTTATTTCATTTTGTTATGGTTTTTGATTTGCTATACCAAAATGCTGATCGTAAAAATTGACCTGTAATGGGTGTTGCTATAGTGACATGCAATATGTGTATTTTAATTTGTTAATGAAAGAAAAAAAAGGAAGATAAAAACCCACCAGTGATCACCTAATCTTATCAGCTGGTGTTTGTCACATTGAAGTATGATTATGATATATTTTGTTCTTTGAACAGTATTTAAGTACTTTTTTCTGTCATGCTATCCAGTTTTAATAATGGTGAAGTTTCCAAGCTCAATGTTTCTGTTATGAATTCACAGACATGGACCATATTTTATTTCTGACAGTATACATTTTTTTTTGTTTGTTTGTTTTTATACTTTTTAGCTGTTCCTGAGTGACAAAATATCTTGAATGTGAGTCATTATGTAGCAGTTGCACAAGAACCGAAATAATAGCTATGATAATAAAAAAAATATGACTAAATTATACATGCACCATTTCCGTGGTGGTCTAGTGTATTGTTGTATCGTCACCCATAAGTAAATTTGTTCTTAAAGAAAACCATTTCATAGGAAAAAAATGTTTCACTATTGTTTTGTGCCCTGAGTACAGTACTGGCTTCTTTTTGTGCGTGCCTGTATTATTTAAGATGCTTCGTTTGCAAGTTGACCTTTAATGGGGGAAAAAAAAAAGATTTATCTGCCAGTATTTTACTTTCCTGCAAGGATGTGTGAAAGATAATATTTTCCCTTCAGTGTTTTCTCATTTTCACGTTTCTGCTGTCTGTACAGCACATGGGTATGAATAATCATCACCAACAGTCACAGGGAGAGCACAGTCAGTTCGCTAGTGTTGGTTATCGATTAGCGACTACACGTCTTCAGAACAAACTTTAAATAAACACTTAGAAGCTGCTTAAGAGGACAGAAAGCTGCTGAACGGGTTTACAGTCACAATGCTGCTAGTTCTTTAGAGTATTAATATATTCACACAGATGGAAGTTTAGTTTTTTCTTAATGCATGGCAGGTTGGGAGACCTTTTTTATTTCAGATGTGACGACTTGAGAGAGAAACCTAAAGCCTTAAGGTCAGTCATACAACCTTGTTCATGTATGCCGGTTATGTCACCATCATGAGTCAGCCTCCATGAGCTCACACTTTATGTTACAGCTGCTTTGATTTATTTTTAACGCAGTTTAAAAGTTGACGGCGCTGAAAAACTCGCCACTCAAAAAGCATGAAATCCTAATCGGCACAACTGCTCACGCATGTCACCGTTATTAAAATGGAGTTCAGTCCTTTGCTTTAATTTTTAAGTGTTGTGTGTGGAAATGAGTAGAAAGGGAATTTTGTCACTTATTTTTGTTTGGATTTTTTTGAAAGACTTTCACTCATTGTCAAGAAAACATGCATTGTGTTCCCTTTTTAAATTAATTTGTTTTATTTTCCCAGTGCTTTGTGTTTTTCTTTTTAAGTTTTCATTATTTGGCAGTTGATCTTTGTTTTTATGACATGAAAACATGCAGAAATTACAGATAAATTACAAATTTGATTAAAAATAAAAGAGCTGAGCTGCTGCAAATTAGTCAGAGTTGGGGGTCAGGGGTTGATTACTGAAAACAGTACAAACTGTATCCTCTAACGAATTTTTGGTTGCCATCTGTTGCCCATTAAAGTTATTTGTTTATCAGTATTATTCTATATTTTTTCTTTTTGTCTGTTACACTCATGCCAAAACCACCACAGCTCATTCTTTTTCATTCCAATACTCAACATTTCTGCCCACACATTAATACAGGAAACCAGTTTGACCTTATATAACCTTTTGTGGGTCACATAACTGGTGCGTGTATGTGGTATGTGCAAGTGTTTGCATCCATATCTTGGTGAGTATGCGTGTGTATGCGTGTGTATGCAACTGTGCTGTTCCATGTGCTGAACTTATGAGATGGAGTCTGTATTAGCTGCAGTGCAGAGATGCTGCCAGCACATACAGCTTACTGCAGTATGTCTTATATGAGGCTCTTTTTCAGGCCGCTTTGCTAATCATTAACTAAATTAGGCCATAGATCAAAGAATATTTCTTGAAAAGACTAGAGGTTTTATGACCGCAGCAATAAAACAAAGTCCTGGATCTAATGTTGGGCAAGGATGGAGAATCACCATCCCTTAGGCTTTTAAATTCACCTCCCTGTTGTATTTTTTGACACCCAAAGGTCGAGTTTATCTGAGCATTTATGCACATCTGTCAACCCAATGTCGCTGATAAAGCTGCTGGCTCGCCCACCCCCGGACTGCAGCCTCTCGCTGCAGCTTGCTGCACTGAACCTTTCATGAGATGAAATTCTCTGCTTTGAAAGGTCCTCTTCACCAGCCAATAGCTGACAAGCTTACTCTCTGCAGTCACCAATCCTATTCCTGTTGCTAGGGCTATAATAAGTACCCCACTAGCAGCCCAGTACCTATTGCATCCTGTAAAAAATGAAAGCTCAGAGCGCACAGGAGGCATTAGGATTCAGCACCAACCTATCTTCATGCTGGTGCTTCAATGCACTCAGTGCCACACTTTCAGGGACACCGGTGTCACAGTTGGTGGTAAATGCTGCTGACATTATGCATCCCAAAACACTCTGGGGCCTGCTGATGGACGTGTAATTGAATCTCCAGTAGCTACAAATTCAATTTAGTACCACTCATGGCAAATTCTTTCAAATCTGAATAAAACTCAATAGTTTTACATGCATACATATACATATAGTTTTCCATACATATATGTTCATTTAAATTAGTTATTTACATTAGGTATTAAAGGCCCTATGCACGGGAAACATTTGTTTAACTGTGCATCACTTCCACATCCACAACAACTGCTTTGTCATTACAGGAAGCATCATTTCCCTGATGAGTCCAGGATGACGATGCAGTTAGGTATCATCGAGCCATTGTCATGCCATCAAAATGTCTTTTAAATCACTGAATCGTTATCATCAACAGAGGGCCACAATTAGATTTCCTGAGACGTTTCTGGTGATACAAAAGAATGTATACCTTTGATGACGGATTAAAAATAAACTTTGGAAGTCAGGCTTGTAGTGATAGGGGCAGGTTATTTTTGTCCTCTCTGAATTTCACAAGCTCTTTCAAGGTTGTAGAGAAGTAGCTGTCTACACACTTATTTAGATTATGTACGTAACGCATAGAAGAGGAAACTGAAAGTACAGACACTGAATTTAAAGACATTTTATAAATATGCTTATATGTCTTATTTCACTATTCTCATCTCTTTCCAGCAAATTAAAGCGAAAGAGTTAGCCTAGCGCTATCTTAAAATAACTAAAACTCCCTGCACTGCACTCCCAGTGTGTCCAGTACCTTGGATATTTTTAGTACATCCTTGTGGTATAGGATTGTTTGCACTGCTTGTGCTGTTGGCCATGAAGTTAAAATAATACAATGCTTTTACAAGGTGCTTTACCTTATAAAAGTAGGCACATAAATGCTTTAAACAGGTGATTTTAGCCCCTCTCTAGGTGGTTGCCAGGCAACCTGATGGCATTATCGTATGTCGTTATATTGCAGGTTTTGTGGATGTAAATCAAATGTTACTGTCATGAAATGAGAAACAATGCAATTCTTTTGTATGTAACATTTTCAGGTAAATAAATACTGACACACATCATTTTAGCCTGATAATATATATGATTGTTGGGAAGCACTAATGCAACAAGGTGTTCGCAGGTTGCCTCTGTGGTGGCCATCTTGTTTTCCCTGTAAAGAGGAGGCCGCCTCAGTTGCAGCTCTTTTATAGGCCAGTCTGAATTGAGAAGGTGTGGTCTCTATTGTATTTAAAGCTGGCAGGAAATGCTGTCTGTATGTGCAAGATATTGGCAAGAGACAATAAAGTAATTACTTCGGTTAAAATAGAGTGATGTCTGATGTTTTCCTCACCACACCTCTCTGCGTAACAATGATATAGATAAGAACCTTGGGTGGCCCAAGATTTACCTGTGTGTCAAGTCTGGTTGCTTAATTCCTGATAGGAGTTAGTGGACAAAGAAACAGACAGACAGACAGAGATTTGGTGTATTATAATAGGAATGCTTGATGGGAACAAGAACAAAACCATTTTTAGACTTAAATGTGTAAAGCAGCAACTTCAGGGGCAAACAAACACAGAAGAGATGCAAATGGCAGCTCTTGGCGTAGACCCTTTGAGGCCAGCTTTAAAACAGACTCAGTCCACACAGACACTCGTGTTAAAATTCCAAATTAACCAGCACTAAATTGCATGTTGGTGATGAGCATTTTTTTTTTTACCTTATCCATTTGAATATTAATTAAGGCTTAAAGTTAGGGATGTTGACCCTTTTGGTTGACAGGTGTGCTGGCACAGGCTGCTGTAGCCAGTCACTGATTGGTAAGGGTTGCTCTGATAATTCCAGCAATCTAACAGGACAAGAAAAGTCAGGAAATTTGTGAAGCTGTGGTTTTTTTTTTTGTTGTTGTTGTTGTTTTTTAATCAGATTTGACTGGTGATTCAGGTTTTTATGTCTGTATATAAATACTGAAACTTAAGTTAATTTAAAAGATAACCTGCTAAACGTGTACCTGGAGGCTGCCAAGTGCAAACACATGCACAGAAGGATTTTTCTAATAATCGTGACTTTTATATTTTTAGTTACTAATGCAATTAAAATATGAATGGGATTAATTGGCAGGTTTTCTTGTTGACAGGAAACTCCAGTCTGTCTTAGCTCAGGTAAGGTTTTACACTACTTTTCTTAAACATCAAGAAAACACCAGTTTCTCAAAATCTAAAATTTTGGCTTTTGATACCTTATGCAAGACTTACGGCCTTGAGAAACAAGACTTTTTTCCGATACTTGCAATTCCATGACTATATTGGCAAAAGAATAAACAGCTGTGTCCCTGGAGACTTCTCGATTGTTAACATCTTCATTGACGCTTATGACTCCGGGAGTAACAAAGCCCTGATAAGTAAACTGTACAAATGTATGACTAAGCTCAAAAGGGACTCGACAATTTACATAAAACAGAAATGGGAAAAAGAAATGGGCATTGAGATTACAGAAGATGGGTGGACACGGATTTGGGAAACACAGTTTACCACAACTAACTCCAACATGTGGCGGGACTTTTGTTGGAAGAACATTATACGCTTTTTCATAAGACCTAAACAAAAGTCGAAATTCAGTGCTACACCTGCGCTTTGTTGGAGGAATTGTGGGGAAGTCATGGCAGATCATGGACACATATTCTGGTCCTGCCCATCCATACGACCCTTCTAGACGGAAGTTGCAAAAATAATCACAAAGGTACTGGGATTCAATGTGACATGTACATTCGTATCATTGTATCTGGGATATTTTGCAGAAGATTTAGTTACAGACGATGTTTATCTCCTGAGAATTTTCTTGGCATCTGCGAAAAAGGCTATAACAAAACGCTGGCTTTGTAAAGACCCTCCCACTATAATACTTTTTACCTCTATAGTGGAAGACATCAAATTGATGGAATGTATGACTTTCACCCTGCGACTCCAGGGAGACTTGGGAAGGAGACGTTGGAGAAAATGGCTGGGCTTTACAAATTGTGGCAGCACTCTTTAATGCATAGAACTTGCAATACCAAAGTATTGATATATGTATGTGTGGATGTACAGCTGTATACAAGGGCATATATTGTCTTCCCATGACCTCATAATATTTTGTCTTTTTTGTTTGTTTTTTTCTGCATAAAAATGTTCCTAAATAAAGAAAAAGTATCAAAAAAAAAGAAAAAGAAAAAAGAAAACACCAGTTTCTAGCTATGCTTGCACAAATGGCATTGTTATTTCATCCACAATTTTGAATGAATGAATATTGGATGGTTTACCATTACATTGGTGCATTTGGTTATTCTTGCTCCCAAGAGGATGAGACATATTTGGTTTGCTGTTCTCTGAATTAGCAAATTATGAAGGCAATTTATACCATCTACCAAATCCTAATCTAACATATTAAACATGGTTAGAAAAAAAAAGAAAGAAAATGTCTGCTAAACAGTAGAGTATTAGCACTTTCACATGCTACCTTGTAGATGTTAGGAAAACAGAGCTATTGTATTAACATTGTATTATTTGAGGCCTCACATCTGTCAGTGACTTTAGTCAAAAGGTCATCACAAAGTCTAAGCTTGGTTGCAGTCTATTGATTTCCTTTCACAGGGCTGCACTCTACACTGAGTGCAGCATTTTCTGCTGTCTGCAAATTTCTGCACTAAAAGGCAGTTAACCTCCTGTAGTCCATGCTTCTCACAGTCATTGTTGACCCATTCATTCATCATCAGCCAAACCCCAAAGCTTTCATGGCTCATTTGAGGACTGTGGGACAGACGTGGCAGCTCTGTGAACCAGCAGCAGCAGCAGCAGCAGCACCATGCTAAAAAATAGCACATCAGAAATGTAATTAAAACTTAAGACATTCTCTAAAAGAATAGGGAAAGACTAAGGGTTAAGTGAGACTGAAAGACCATAGCTGAAACCTCTCAGCCCAACACCAATAAATAAAACCTTAGATTAATGCTGAATTGAATCACTTTCCTCCAGCAGCAATGCCAGACACAGTAAGAATATATTTCTGAGCAGTTCACCGCACAGACATGTCAGATTTTGAAAAGTTTATGATCCAGCTC